TTTCTCAAGAAGTCACAGAATTTACCCTTATAAAAGTTTATAGAATAAGGTTCCAGGTGTTAGACTATAAAAGGACTCGACTACTTAAAGCAAAATACAAATTCACAATTGAAAAGCATTTAATACCATAAAATAGACTCAATATGAAGTGGTCTATAGTTTCTGTTAGAAAAAACACCGTTCGCTGATTGTAGGAGTGACAAGCTCAAGAATAACTCAGACTTTGGCTGGAATTCAAAGAAAAAGATTTTACGATGGTAAATTTTCTGGTAGTTAAACTTCGGAAGTCAATATTTTCACGTATAAGTTAAATAATTCCGTCTTGTAGCACATTATTTACATAAAAACTAGTGGAATTACATGGTTACCCAAACGGAAGTAAAAAGACCAGGGTTTTACCCTGAAACTCATCAGCTAAGAAATCAAGTATTTTAACCACTAAGCCAGAACCTAATTGAAATACATTTTTCAGTGTCAATCATGAACTGACTGCATCTAAACAACCACTGAAAACCAGTATTTACTGGACAGTTATTTGATTCCAGTATAGAGCCTCTCAGCTGTGTGTATCCACGACCACACCCAGGATTACACAGAAGACCTTCACATCTAGTAGTGGGGATTCACCCCTCTAATCACTGAGCTGGTATCAGGTGGCGTCTACCTCGAACTTCAGTCAGTTCGCTATATTTCGTGACCATCATCTAACGTGATTGGTAGGTAACTGGCAGACTCATTTAAACTGGCGACAGCATATCACTGTAAACCTGGTCACTGCCTTTCCGAATTGGTAACAAATGAAAACATGATTACCATCAGTATAAGCAGATGAGGTACTTTTGCAATGTTGAGGAGTGACTGAATTTCTAAATGTAAACTACTGGATGTCAACTCAATGGTCTGGATATTAGATTTTCATCACCCAATTTAAAGGTCATGGAATTAATCTCTGCCAAGTTTAGAAATCGTTACAACTAGATAGATCAATGACAGTATAAAACACCTGTCTATTCTTCTCTTGTTTTCTGTCATTATCTAGTGACAGTCAGTCTCCAGTTTAACAATCTTCATAAATTTGTAACCATACGGATTATATTCATATTTTCAGAGGGGTTTTGTTGGATATCATAGTAATTTAATAGTTGAATTTATGGATGCCGGCTCAGTGGTCTAGAGGTTAAACGTTCACCCACGAGACTGATAGGTTCTGGATTCGAATCTTGCGAGGTGGGGTCGTGGATGCGCACTGCTGAGGCGTCCCATACTAAGATGAAACAGTCGTCCAATGCATCTAGGTTTTCCATGGTGGTCTAACTTCAGTTGATTCAACTATTAAAATATTTATATTCATTTAATGTTTTATTATTATTATCACTATTTTGCATAATAAATTTCCGTAGAAGAAAGGAAACAATTCATTTTCTTTGATGAATGAACATTATCCTAACATAGATTAAGGTCAAGGATAATTTCAATGACAATATTAATTAATAACTTAATTAAATAATTAAGGTGAAACCCTATAAATATACATTGAATATACCTCAAATAAATGTACAATAATGATATTGTTTATTAATTAATCATTATTATTATTATTATATACTAATAATATGATTAAAAATACTTATCCTTATTGATATTCTATTGCATAAATGTACGATTATAAAAGAATGCTGAGGTGAAAATAAAACAAACAAATAAACAAACAATTGAATTTATTAAAAGATATGATTGTTATTCCATTTAATGTTTACTAGGGTGTGTGTGGTGAAATTATTTGAAAATGTATTAATAACGATAATAATAATAATAATATAATGAATGAATTAATGAACTTCCAGAATGTATGTGTTAATAATTGCACTTTTTTTTCTTGGTAAATAACAAATAAAGTGAACATTAACAGAGATAAGTACAGTGTTTATTGAGTGAACAATATTATTCTCAATTAAATCTTGGATCAACTTTAATTATACAGTAATAAATGGTTGAAAGCAATGAACAACTTTTTCATCTAATGACACATGAATTAAATTAATAAAATTAATATAATATCCCCAAAACCCTTATTGATTATAATCATCATGTGCTCAGTAGTGACTAGCTTCAAGAGGGATTTCCTAAAGTTCTAGTGAAAAGCCGTAATCAGTGTAGTTGTGAGATAATAACTCGCTGATGACAATGGTGGACGGTGGGGCAATTTCATGAACTTGTTGAAGTTAAACAGTAACACCGTCCGATGCCAGCTGACCCAGTGGTCTAAAAGTTAAGTGTTTGCACGTGATACCGATACATCCTGGACTCAAATCTCACGAGGCGCGATCGTGGGCGCACACTGTTGACGAGTCTCATACTAGGACGAGACGGTTCTCCAGTGCTTCCAAATATCTCATGGTCGTCCAACTTCAATTCACTCATGAATTCAACTATTAAAATCACCATCATATCCACAAAACCCCTCTCTCATGGTAACTCCATGTTTGACTATCCGTGAGGTTATGAGTGAACATTGGTTAAGAGTTCCAAACCACGACGAGGTAATTGTCTATTATCTCTTGGTTTTCAATATATGTTGAACTGTGGTAAATCCTTAATATCCACCATGGAATTCAACAATCTTCACTAACCCATAAAGTGATAGAATTTAGTCTGAGTTTTTTCTGGTTTGCCGGATTCTTAGTCATGAAAAATGCATGTTTATTATTATTATTATTATTATTGTCATTGTTATTATCATTACAACTTACTGTTAAGATTTTAAAGTGGAATGATAATTTTGACAATAATTTTAGAAAAGCTATTGTCTAGTGTTATGTGAATGATTCTATCCTTTACAAGTAGGATAAATGTAAGTATTTGTGTCTAAACTAAACTACTCCATGTAACATGGCTGAGAATCGATGCCAATGGCGTGGGTGTATACATTCTCTGTCTTCCCTTAAACTGTGAGATTGAAGTTGCTTTATGCTTTTCTTTCTACGAACTAGATCTTTCTTCCTGTATTAAATTCTTATACACATTTTCTCTTTTATATATTACTACCATTGAAGTAACTACATCTATGAATTTGGTATTCATCTTGTTGTGCTAATGAGGTGTAGCAACTTGGAGCTAAGGTGTTGACATAGGTGAATGAAAGTAATTGGAATGACAAAGGTAATATATATATATATATATATATATATATATATATATATATATATATATATATATATGCAAAAACAGGTCGTAGGTCATTTGGTGCTAGAAAAAAACATGAGGTTTGGGTGATGCAATAATCAAGTGAGGTTCAGAGCCAGGTAAGATAGACTGTGTGATCATTTTAGAGGTAATGAAAGGTTAATAGAAGATTCCTGGAATTCAAAGACTGATAAGACGGATTGTATAATAATTGTACAGGATTTAGACAGTTTACACAAGTTTAGAGAATTAAGTGAATAAAAATGTATCAGTGAAAGTTTGGTTATAATGTACATAAAATGAGAATTCTGTAAGGGAAGCCCACATAATAGAGTAAACATTAGCTAAACAAAACTAATGACCAAAGAAAAATAATCCAAACGATTCAAAAAGAGACAGTAATAAGCCTATTACTACCCTGGTAAACCAATACATAACTAAAGTAACATTACCAATAATAGTTTCAATGAACCAAAAGTGATTGAAGAAAATTGAAGTGAAAATCACCAACAAGTAGATTTATGTATTTATACTAAACTGTAAATCATAATTCACAATACAGTAATAGTAATAATAATAATAATAATAGAATAAGAATTGTATTAATTTATGTCCTAAAAAAATTACACAACGAATATTAAACAACTTCTTTGTTAACTGATTTTGGATTTGATGGAAAAAAAAGAAACGATAAACTTATATAGCCTCATAAGGTAAATTATTGACAACGTAAGCATAATTGTCTACTATTATAAATAAGAAAACTTTATTATTAATACTGAATAGAACTGATCATATATACACTACTATAATGTTCTCCTTCCTTTAGTACAAAAAGTTACAATTAATAGTTTTATATATGATGGTTTGTATGTTCTTGTTATTAATGTTAAGGACTGTAATTGATCTGTTTTTATTTTCATATATGTAATCTCTGGGAGTTCCCTTGATGTTGAACTTTAATTAGATTTTTACTAAATGATAACACCGAAGGAATTCCGACGGGATACATATATATGGAAATAAAGACTGATCAGTTGCAGTCTTCAACAATATCGACGACTAAGTACAAACTATTGAAAGTAAAATTCATACACGTTGTACAGGTACAGCTAGACAAGTGGATAATGCATTAGCGTTTGATGCAAAAGTTACTAGGGGACAGTCTCTGTGCGAATATGAACACTCATATGTAGGGACATCCAGATGACGAGTTCCAAAAAGGACGAAATATGTGTTCTAAAGTACATATCCAGCCACTTTCCAATCCCAATGGTTTTTAGACTTTAAACATTTTAATAATAGCACAAAATTTGTATATCAGTATCAATTAGGTTATAAAATTTCATATTACACCAAGTATATATATCACCGCTGATTTTGATCTGACTTCCATTGGATGTCATAGAATAATCAACTGCTTTTTCATCCTAGATAAGAATAACTAAGTAGTGTTCAACTAAGACTTTTATAGATATGATACTCAGGACCTTCAGATCATTTAGCAAGAACTCTACCTTCATACTACTGAGGTGACGTTTAACTCAAATTGCGAAACCATATCATCAGGAATAGATTTTAATCTCAGTAGTCATGCTATTATAACATTATACAAACCATAAATGTTAAAACTATCCTTAGTAATAGGTAAAAGTATAGTTCAATTACTTTGAGTACAAATTAAACACGTGTAAGGGTATGATTCATTACAGCTACATTCTAAACTTTTGGTAACTAAGCCAGAAATTTATAGATAATTCACAATAAAATTACATTTAAAACTAACATAATACACTAATAACAAATAAATTATTTACTTTTAAAAGTGCTTTTTCTGGTTGATCATGTACAAGGTCAGTAGATTGACGTTTTTCCCGATGATATAAACATTCTTGTGTAATATGTAATGGATTTTCAATTTCGGCGAATGCTTTTTCAGCAATTCGTTTAGATTCATTTAATTTATTCATTTCATTAATAAGTGCATCAATTTCGTTATTTAATTCATGTTTCATATAATTGATATCATTAATTCTTTGACCTAATGTTAGAAAAAGAAAATAAACATATTTGATAATATCACTGTATTAAAACCTTGACAGCAAACTCGGACACAAGGCCTCCTCCTGGCGCTGTTGGGGTGATAGAGTCAAATTTACTGACAAAACTGGACGGTCAGACTAATTCACCACTCAAATGGAGGTTCCAACCCCGATGCTCTGAAATCTTACAGGCTGCCTGATGTGTATGCTTGTACATATGAATTTCATGAGTCTCAGCATGCGTAATTGTGTATATAGGTATACACAGAAGGTATGTGCCAGACTGGAATGTTAGCTGCATATCTAATAAGATCAGAGGCCTAAACCAACAGGTCGAAGACAAAAAAAGAAATACTAGCAAATACTGAGAAAAGATGACCATCAGTCCTCTCTAAGACCGCTCAAGATTATGTGTATGCCATGAAATGGATGACCAAAACTCCATATACTAGTGGTATGCATCTAATTTGTAAGAGGTAGTCAGTTGCAGCAAATACATTTGAAGGGATTGGTGACCATCTGCCCTCTCAGGTGAGTAAATATGCCTATATCTATGCCATGGGATGAATGGGTGAAAACTAATGTATTACCGGTAGGCATGTAATGTATGCTTGCTCTTGGTAAGACGTCCATGCGCCAAAACCCAAGAATACCGATTTCCCCAAGAAATAAAGTCCACGCAGTGGGTTTGTGAGCCTTCAAACAAGAAAACCACTCAGGTTTTGTCCGATCGAGTTTGAACAACCCCCTTAATAGCTGGAACGCTGCCATCACCGTTAATCCCTTCATAACAATGGCGTTAAATTGAAAGGTTAGGCTCACTAAGATGCGTTGGCATTCAGTGAACAAGTTTCAGATAGAACAAGTTCGACAAGTAAAATAATGTTATGAACGCATCCGAAAAATTGCTTTATTTTTCATAATTATAGAAACAAGGGAAACTAGTCACAATGCAACAATGCAATAAACTTGAGGGAAGTTTCTGACTTTTAGACAGGAACAGATGTAAGAGAAATATGCTTCTGACTTGTGTTCTTTTATTATTGTGTAGAAACAGATGTAAGTTGATTTGTAGTGGGTCTGAGATATTCCAACAAGTTTCAATTTATACCACACATACCTTCACAAATTTGTTTTCATTTCCTAGTCTCTAGAAAGGAAACATATTCTTCTGAATGTCAGTTTGACCAGTTCGTGTCACCGCAAATGAAAGTTACAATTTCTTAATCTAACCACTATTCCGTTTCATTTAATTTGCTTTTTCATAAACTAACACCTTACAACGAGAATGAAAATCATATGACCGGCTATCAAAAACATATTATCTTAGCATAACTAATGTAGATAATATGTGGCATTTTAATGAAAGTATACAAGCCGATTGATTTCAGAGCATTTAGTCAATAATAAAAAGTCCTGATTACCATCAACAACTGGTCACTGTTGTCAAAAAACAGGTATGAAAAATAAGTGGATAAGTAAGTGACAATGAACTTTTGAAAGAGACAGCCAGCCAATTAAAATTTCTGTGGGAACATCAATTACTCCCTGGTACTTGTTACCTGACAACAAAAATTGATTTAAATTATTTTTCAGACACCTGATTTTAATAAAGAATAATTATACCGGTATTTATGCAGCTAGATAATTACGTCTTATTGATCAAATAAGTAAAACTCTTGCAAATGGTTAAACTAAAAGATGGTGACTAAGACAAAGACGCCCATTACTCGCTATTAGTGAATGTTCATGAGAACAAATTTTGTGAAACCCTTCGCTTGTGAACTACAGTTGATTCAATTAAGACATGTATGTTTAGTACAAGATGTGCTCAACTCAATTTGATTTATTAAAACCGAATCACATCGCAAAATGATGATTAACAAGCTCAAAATAACCGGAATGATGTTGGCGATATCATCCATCCTTAGTGCTATCAAAACGCTAGTCACATTAAAAGACGTCAAGAGAAGCAATCAGTGAAATAAATTCTGATCTTTCCTCGTAAAACATCACCTCTTCCAGTTAAAAATGTCCAGTGACTCTATATCCTCTGCCTTAGTATTCCCCAAAATGTTCAACTTGTCCGTTGGCAACACCATGGCAGTCATTCATATTTCCGTGAATATTGGTTTGGATCCAGTAATAATAATTTATTCAATGTCAAGATCTTAAAATAATCGCTTAATTGGTTTGGACATGCTTTTCACAGAGGGATCCAGAAGTTGACATACTGAACAATCTGCAGACTCTACGGGGTTTTGTAGCCAAAGGCAAAAAGGTGCTCAGTTTAATAAGGCGATAGTTTTACCATCTTATTTCGTATAGTGCACTCTTTTGTAACTCCGCCTGTAGCTCTTCTAGAGTTACTGCCGGTCCCAATCCCGGTTAAAGAATGAGGGTCGGTAACCCCGTCCTGTAGAAAACAACCTCGCCAAAAAAACGCTGATTAGATTATGCACTCTTTTGTTTCCCACCGTACGACTATATTTATGTGATAAATAAATACAGCAAAACGAGAGATAATATTTAAGGCGAGACTAAAACTCCAACAAGATGAAACAGATAAACAAATCGTATTAATTTATGTATTCCAACAGTAAATCACAACGGCCTTAAGGCATTGAAACTTTATATGTCATACAAATATTTAAACTAACAATCTGACCAAATTAAAGCAATATTATATGGGGTTTTGTTTGACATTCATTTTTTAAGGCACTTCTTTGTAGTTTAAAAAAATAAGCAACACTAACCAATGTGGACTTTTTTATGGTAGGAAAACTTAACGGAACTTAACGGAACGGTAGCCTGATAGATGCTTTATGAATCAAAGTCAATATTAAAAAACAAATCCATATTTCTGAGTCGACTGTGTACTTTACACCTCCATGAAATTCCCGACAAACGAGAAATACTATGAAAGAGTGTATGTTCATCAATGATAAACGAAAAAAATAGCATATAACCATACTGAAACTCACCAAGTAGTCTGCCAACTTCCTGTTGTGCTCGTTTAATTCTGTCATCTGCTTCAACTCCCAAACGTTCTCCATTTCCTCTTATATGTTCAGCTCTCTTCATTGCCTGCTCTGAGTTTGACAGCCGAGTAAAATTACCCTTAGTCCAGTCGGCAGGCGTATATCTTGTGTATAAAGCGTTGCGTGCAGCTGAGTATATAGAAGGAATTCTTAAACCCTCCAGTTCATGTAAACCTAGCGAATCTCCAGTAACGTTGACAATGGGGCCCAGTAATTTTGCTGACTTGTCATCATTAAAATAAGATAATCGGTCGGGGGAAAAATGAGACTTGGGGCGCCAGGGTGTAAATGATCTGATATTCCTGTGGGTATAAATAGCTGGATAACTGCCTTCTGTTATATCATCAAATCTTCCTGAAGATCCTGATCTTGCATATTGCAAAATATCTGGTAAATTTGATGCACTGTGACTCAGTCGTAGTGGTTTTTGAAAATAACGTTCTGTCATTAACTCCATTTGTAAATTATTTGCTAGTAGGATAAGGAACATGATTATTTGTTGTTAACTAAGAACTTCTAATCAATAGCATAGGAATACGAAATTTTAGCTCCAACATCAATGTCAACAAGATTGTATGACAATAACAATTAAATTCACAACTTAGAGTTAAATAAATGAATACTACTGTTCTTTTCTTTTTATGTTAAGAAAGCTAAAGGCGAGTAGAACGTACCTTTAAGATAACCTATTTATTCCATTATCAAATTCAGTGAAACATACTATAAAAGTTTGTGACGAAAATAGGGATGATTTCCATGATAACGTTGTCAGTTGTTTTCATTTGACATGTAACAGAAACAACTCGAAAACAAAAGGTTAAGATAGCTTCACAGATCAAACTCATGACACATAAAAGCTAAAGTTCAGAATACAAATCATTCCATACAGTGGCCACCCTAAACACTTTTAACCCTAAATCTTCTCATTTCCGCTTAACAGGAATATAATTCGATTATAAATAAGCTTCAGTAGCTACATATATTCAACCAAGAGTCAGCTAAACGGAATCTCATCAAAATGATCAGATATCTAAATGTGCACACCTTATGGTGGGGATTAGATATTTCGAAACCCGGCATTTCAACCTCATTCTTTTTAACGTCAGTTCCAGGACAGTGTATTGGTAAATTGCTGAACTAATATTCGATAGCCATCTGTGAACATAGTCTTCAAACAACATTGCATATATGCATTTGAGTGATCATATATACATATATATTTATTCCTTTATGCTAAACGACGGGTACAAAAGCTTCTTTCAATATCAGATAATAATCGTACAATCTTGATAGCCAATTTATTTTTAAGGCCTAATATTAATTGGGAGCTCCCAATTAATATTAGACTAGTCTAAATTATCTTGACCAGCTAATCTTTGGGAGTTTACTGCCATTTAAAGCATTAAAAAATAAGCTCTTAATGGGGTATCAGTAAATAAAATACTAGGCTTCAGATGAACAACACTGGCATAATTAAACCTACAGGCAACTTTTGAAAATGAGACTAAATATCCAGTCTGGTTTTACCGCTGTAGCAACGAGTACATATGACCTTCAGTAAGCATAACGTACGAGTTTCAATAAAAATAGACTATTATTCATTACTTCAAACGTCACAGTACCCCTTTAATACTTTTTTGTTAGCTCTGATTCGAAACGTTTAGACATTGAATATTTTTAATCCCAATAGAAGGAATGTGACATTGCTTTTTCGAAGTCCTATCATTATCACACAAACAGTGGATTCAAACCCAAATACCAGTTTACCAAGCAAAGTAGCCTTAAAATAGGGAAGGAGAATTTCACGCGCCATTAAATGTGCACAGAGGTAACTAACTCAACGCTGACAATGTTTAGCAACAATCTGATAGATTCAGTTTGAAGTTACGCTCACACAAGTAATAACTTACGTTTTTGATATATACCTAATGTTCATTCGTCACGTTCATATGCATAAACCAGATTCTCAAATTTTCCCGTATTTAAACCTAATGACATTTTCACTGCAATGATTTCTAAGCACTGAACTTGAGACTCTTTGAAACATGCTCATACATATCAGTTATACTTCCGTTTCTTCGACATCACAAATCATTTCTCAACACAGCCTACCGTACGTGCCCTGTTATACTATAGGATAAATGAACTATGGAAAACCTATTACACCTGGCTTTCACAGTTTTCCCTGTTATTCATTATGTGTTTTTTGCAGTTAATTTCGTGCCACAAATTAAAGTTATATTTTTATACAATTGTTGAGTTGCTATTAACCACATGCTAACATTTTTATTTACATTCTCACAGGTATCCCTAAAGTGTCACTAACTGTACTCAAAGTATTTCTCCCTTCGTTGCATATTTACACACGTTCTCAGAATACCCCTTGAGCGTAGAAATTAGTGTTCAGTCTGAAGATACGTTAGGTTCTGGGAAAGCACAGTTATATAACTCTAAGCCGACGACTCAGTAATCGCACGAAACCCAATTACATTTATTTATCTGAACAATAGATAATAAACAACAACAATACAAGCATAATATCAAGGCGGTCTGAAAGTAGAGACCAAACGTCGATAGCTCAAGGTTTCGGGTGCCTTATCCGAATAGGTAACTTTCGAGAACGGGCGTTTCTAAATCAATATCGAATTTTTTACAGGGCAGCCTTGTAGGTTTCAACAATGCCACACATACGATATTTTCTGACTTTCTAACGAATTACTATTTTCATTCTTACATTTGTTAAATCAAACACAGATTTTGCCTTGTCAGTTGCGTACTTATGGACCTAAACAGGCCTTATAGATGTATGTATGGTAGTAATAATGTCTGTCCTATTCCTGTACTTTTTACATGACTTATAATAGCTGTCATACCATTATTATCTGAGTTCGTAAACTACTGACCTCAAAAACTTCATGTAATTGCCGCATCTTCCATTTGCTTGCCTGACGTTCATCATTAGTACGTTCAATGTACGTAGCCAAAACACAATACTCGTCACACTTTCGTTATCTACGTTGTATAAACGTCATTTCTCTACAGACTTCATATGAAGTAAACAGGATTAACTTTAACTTGGCATTATTACTATTCAGTCATTATGAAGTTAACCACTGGTATTAAAAACAAATCCACAAAGTCGAAATACAGAGAAAAGCTCACCTTTCTTCGTAAGGACAATGAGAGGCTTGACTGCTTACAGCAATTCCCTATCGAACACTGATGAAGGAACCTTAACAGTTTTTGTGCTAGCAACTGAAAACCGGTACCCAGAACAGCGTCCGGAAACTTATCCTTCGAGTGCTGAATCAGAAGATAGTCGACCACAGAGTATATTGTCATATTGATAATAATTACAAACTACCACTAATCCTGTGTGTTATTCATGTTGTGGAGGGATTTTCAGCGTTTTCTTTCCGTTGCAGTATGTATCCGATGTATTTCGCCTTAGCCACTATATATGTACGCACTAGTCAGTGAGAAGCGGCGCAAATGAATAGACCAGCGTGGAAGAGTAGGCATCAGAAAAATGAACCTCATTACGAAAGAACAATCATTGACAGCTTGAGCACTACAATTTGACTACAGAAGTGGTTGGTAATGAGTAGGGAAGCAGACTTTTAATCGTTATCGTCATTATAAAATGTTTAAACGATACGAGAACGACTGATATCTAAGACACTTATGATTTGCATTTTCGAACACTTACATATGGTGTAGCTTTGTATAGCCACTGCAAAGATATCTGATATTCGATAGGCTAGTAATAAGCTATTGTAAATCAACTGGTTAATTTGATTTTAATTCTTCATGTAATAACACGATTCCGGTCCTGCGAAAATGACGATATGTATGCCGAGTGAGTGAATCCCCATTTGTCCAATAATAATCCGTAGTACTGTTGTGTTCAAACGGATGCTGTTCGAATTCTCTCGGCCTCAAATAAAATATTGGACATCTGTCCTTTCCTACAGATAAATCCAAAACATTATAGCTCGATTAGGTAAGGTTCCAACCATAAAGATTATGGACATGAACTATACAAAACAGATCAAAGAACGACATCATCATGATATGCACAGGAGAGAATTATCTAAGAACGTGTAGTGCAATCAAAATCTAGAGAACATAAAGTAACTAAGCCTGTAAGGCATATAAATTAGTTTCTAGGTGCACCTCTAACCACATAACATGATTATCTTACCTTTACACGGTAGTTTAATTCAATTGGCACAAAAAAGCCAAAGGAATTAATGTAGCCTCAGCACATTTCATCGGAAATTAAAACAAAATTTACATAGCGTCTAAAGAATAATCAATAAAACAATACACAAAAAACCAAACCTGTAAGGAAAATGAGTGGCAGTTTCGTCCGTATCCTAAGTATAAACAGAAGATGAATACATAGGTGTCACAAATAACTACTCTACGTTTAAGAGTGAGACAATGTGCTAACCTTACATGAAACGTGTAGGTAGAGGGAATTTCACACATTCACTCACGAATATTCAAAAAGGCTCTTACAATTATCATATATCTAATTTCCTTGATATGAGCACACTGGCTTAATACATGTAGAAGGAGCTGTGTGATGTAATTTTTTTACGATTCATTGCTTTACGATGGTTCAAATCAACCCCTCTGAGACATCTCATTGATTAACAGATTAATTTCAGTTTAATGAGCCATCATATTTACTTACCCGTAATGAAAAATTTCTGAGACAAAATAAATCTAGTTTAACCGAATATAATAGTCTTCCAAAAATGTTTTAAGACATATATTTATATATTTTGATCTGCGCTATTAAAGCCGCTGACACATAAGCCATGCATTTTCATATGAAACCGTTAAGGAATGTAAAGCACATAAAACGTTCGATGAATTATATTTATATCCCTATAATGGATACTCACCATCTAAATATTTTCCTCTACAGCTAAAGAGGAAACTAGGAAAACATACTGGAAGTGGATAGAACATACATTACGGAAATGATCAAACTTCATCATGAAGCAATTGCCAACTTGGAATCCCGAAAGGAAATGGAAAGACAGAAGGCCAAAGAATACACTGCGTCGAGAATCAGAAGCAGACACCGAAAGAGCGAATGGCAACTGGAAAGGATTTTCCAGGACAGAGTTGGATGGATAATGCTGGTAGGCAGCATATGCTCCTCCACGAGTTGTAATAGGCGTAAGTAAGTAAGTAAGTAGATGCTTAACGAGGAAAATTCAGCAAATTACTGTGTGAACAGATTCAACCATATTATAAAATTGATCATTTATGTTCCTCCTTAAGATGTAAATGCATGTCACATATGATTGGAAAAAAAATCAATTTCGTATGTCATTATCATTACGATTGGTTGAGCCATTACTCGCCATATCACTAACACATATGAAATTTTTCCAATTCTCTTGAAATATATCATTTTATTCATTGCTAAAATGTGGAAACGAATCTGTTTCGCCATTTAGCTTCTTCTTCCTTCCTTCATTTATTTGTCCGCTTAAAATCATAATAGCAAAACTAGTAGGTATACACTTGTAGTGTGGCGTCGAGCCGCGGTTGACTATAATCACCACTACAGTAAGACTAAGTACCAGTTAACCGATAAGATGCCCCGTAAGCCAAATATCAGAAGGCAGTTGATGGATGTAGTTGAGATGTATTTGTTGGCGATCCATATATAATGATAATATTTGATTTAGACTTCAGTTAACTCAATCGCAAATGAAAATAGAACGAGGGATGCGTGAATAGTAATGTATTTGTTAGTCGGCAAGAATATGTCACGCTATGTAGTAGCTCAACGGAAAGTGTGTTCAAGGTCATTGACTAAAACAACACGTACAGTCATTTAGTGATGAATGTACATACAGTGAAAAATTGACAAACAAATGCAAATAATATTGAAAACTATTTACAAAATAAGGTTGTCAGGTCTATCTCCACAATCTCGTGGTATCGAAAGAATACCGAGATCATGTCAGGTTACAAGTGTGGTTACTGAGCGTAACCGAATCCGTGCAAGGTCACAATCAACGGGAGAATATCTCTAGTACAGTTAAACAAACAAGTATAGTGAAACAATCACTGGTATAAGTCGTTATAATAATAATTGTCTCCGTTAAACCAATCGCGTTCTCTTGATAAAAGTAGGTCACTACATTCTAAAGCCTAACCTCTAGACCACAGAATTGGTATCTAATGGTTCTAACGTTTAACTTCAATCTATCACCTATCGTTTTCGGCGAGTTGCTACCTGACACCCTACAAGGACTGAGCTCCACGGCTTCTCACCAGAACGACTATCCTGTGCTTCCAGATTTTCTATGATGATCTAATTTATATCATTCCATGATTTCAATGGAACTCAACAATCTCCACAACCCTGTACTGATAAGTAAACTTTTATTGTTCATCTACTTTATTAACAAACTATCCATATTAAAACCAATACTTTCAAATTTCGCAACGATTTCATAAACAGTCTTCACAAATGGAATTCAACATTCCTTCTCCTAAA